GAAACTGGGAACATTCTGGGGGAGAGGGGAGGAGACAAAGAAGGGACTCAGAGGATGACTTGGATGGGAGGTATTTAGGCGGGGAAGGGGGGGTCCTCAAATTCAAACCTCACAACATTGGTGGAGAATTTGAAGCATAGGGAGGGGCTGGAACCCCCCAGAGTGACACAGAACAGAGGAAACTAGATCTCAGGACTCCTGAGTAAGGAGCAAGCATGTATCCCAGGCCAGGAAGCTATCCCAGCTCAGCGTAGAGCTTCAAGGACTGCCAGGGAGAGCCCCCCAGTGTGTGTAACCTGGTGGGTGTGTATGTAAACACACATGCACATGGAATCATGTGCTGGTGCAGAGGGCACAGTTGGCAGGAGCTAGGGGGTGGGAGTGGCGGGTGCTACCCAGGCCCCTGGGTGATGCCACAGCCTCCCTTGTGGTTCTGAAGGAGTGGGAGAGACACAGAAAGGGAGGCTAGGGAGGGAGGACGGCCAGAAACTGGGAGGGGAGGAAGTGGGGGGCTGGGGAGGGGAATGGAGTTGAAGGAGGCAAACTGAAGGCTGAGATGGTGGGAGAGAGGGCAGAGGAAGCTGGAAGAAAGGGATGGCAAAAGGAAGGGAGGAGAGGAGAATGAGCACTAATGGGAGCTGGGCAGAGGGAGGGAGTGGGAGGGAGAGTCTTCTTTGTTCTTTCTTCTTCTCTTTCCCAGAGGGGGAGAGGAGGCAGGCTGGGGCTGACGGGGGTCGGGGGGGAAGGGGGGGATGGCACCCCTGTGGCCCCTTCCAGTTGGGTCTTTTGGCTGGGAGGGGCTCATATATATAGCCAAACTGCTTCCCCGTGCCCTAGCTGGAGCTGACCCCGCCTGCCAGTCACCTGCCAGAGCTATTTCTGGAATGTGGAATCTGGGTCAGAATGGGGGAGGGAGAGAGAGAAAGAGTGGTGGCAGTGGTGCTGGCAGCTGGGAAGCTGGTGAGCTCTAAGTGGGTGGGCGGGCAGCTCCAGACTCTGCCCATGGCCACTCCAGAGGGGCCCTCCCCCTTCCAGGCTCTCACTGCCTCAATAACCACTCCTCGCCCACATCTACCCACCTGCCCACGTATGGCCTGAGTCCATACGTGCCCACCATATGTGCCCATGTACGAGTGTGGAAGAGCTTTCATACCCCTCAGCAACCTGGGGGCTCAGTACAGCCCTAGGTGTGTGTGTGTGTGTGTGTGTGTGTGTCCCTGGGGTCTGGACTTCTCCCTTCCTGGAGACAGAGCTGAGGAGAGGAGACCGCTTCTGAGTAGGGGTGACCCCTGTGGGGCAACAGTGGCTGAAGCAGGGTGGGCCTGCGTGTTGGCGTGGGTCTATGTAGAGGGAGGTGGTTATGCACAGAACTGCCATGGATGGTTGTGCAAGTTTTCCACTGATTAAGGATGCCACATATAGGGCAGACATAATTAAATTATATACTCATGACAAATCTGTGACAGATGGCAGAAAAAGACCTTATTCTAATAAAAATTATACATCATGACAATTTTCCAACAGATGGCAATTAAGTGTCATGGGGGGAGTGCCCTTTCCTAACCCAGCACAAACGTACCGTATGGACCAGCTGCAGTTCTGGGCACAGATGGGAAAATCTGGTGGCTTTGGTTTTCCCTGTGAGGCAGGTGGGTTTACCTGCTGAGCATGAGTGGATCAGAGGGTGGAGGAGAGACAAGCAAGTATGTAGTGGTCACTGTGGAGACCTGAGGGAGGGCTGACCTGGTAAATGTCAGGGTGAATTTTTTCAGTGGCTCTAATCTACTAGGGGCATGATTTCCTCACAGGTGTGGAGGGGGCACGAGTCTTGAAAGAGATACATGTGTGTGTGAGTGTGTATGAAGGTGTATGTGGACATTACGTGTGTATGTGCACCTGTGGGGGATATCCATGTGCATGTGTTTTTGTAACTTTTCATATCATACAGAGATCTAAGGGTCTATAAGTTCATGTATGTCTGGAAGCAGGTGCACTTGCACACACACGTCTGAGTTGATAGGAGGTGTTGCTACATGACATGTTCTTGAGTGTCTTGTTTGATCTAAAGCCCCCAAACTGAGAATAATTGGAGGTCCACAGCCCTCCATTTAAAGCCAGCTGCTGGATCACCCATACAGGACAGTTCGGAGTGGGTGTGGTTGATTGGGGTCTCTTTTTCTTTTTAAATTTTATTTATTTATTTGTCAAAGAGAGAGAGAGCACAAGCAGGGGGAGTGGCAGGCTCCTTCCCCGCTGAGCAAGGAACCCAATGCAGGGCTCGATCCCAGGACCCTGGAATCATGACCTGAGCCGAAGGCAGACGTTTAACCAACTGAGCCACCCAGGCGCCCTCTTTTTCTTCTTAGATTTTAGGTTACTCAATCAAGAGGAGCTGAAGCCAGACCTAACATAAATCATGAGATCCCACTGTTATGATTGGATGAGACTTTGGGGTTCTTAAGGATAAGTGTATTTAAAAAAAATATTTATTTGAGAACGAGAGGGAGACAGAGTGTGTGCGCGCTCATGCACGAGCACACGCACCAGCGCGGGTAGAGGCAGAATGGGAGGAAGAGAAATTTAAGCAGACTCTGCACTGAGAGCAGAGCCCCACTCAGGGCTCAATCTTACAACCCTGAGATCACGACCTGAGCTGAAACCAAGAGTCAGATGCTTAACCAGCTGAGCCACCCAGGTGTCCCACATAAATGGTGTATTTTCTATGTGAGAGGAAGGTGAATAAATATGGCCAAGAGAGTGGACTATAGCAGATTTGATTATTAACCCTAATTTTTCACCCCTCCCTGTATCCACACCATTGCCATAGAAATAGTTTCTTACACGAAGGTAGGAGGGTACCTCTCCATCCCTGTCTTTGAGCTCAGTCATATGACTTACTTTACCCCATGGAATTTTAGCAGATAGTATATTCATAGGGGCCTTGAAATGTGCTTGTGTCCTTAGGCTTGCTCTCTTGTGCTTCTGCCAAGAAGAACATGCCCTGAATGGGTCACTGATCCCAGGAGGACCTTTGGTTTCAGGAGGAAGAAGAGAGAGTTGTGGGACAGAACTGTTCCCGCTGACCCACAAAGCAAGAAATAAGTATTAATCGTTGTACTACACTAATTTTGTGGTTCTTTGTTATGCAGCGCTATTGTGGCAACAGCTGATCAATACAGGGACCCAAGCAGTTCTGGGACATGGACCCATCCTTAGTCTATTCATGTGTGATTGGGTTTGGGGAAGATTAGAGAATGAGTGTCCATTTGAAGAAAATTGCTGGTGTGCTGTATGTCCCCCCAGGCCTACTTCAAGCTTAGAGAATGAGCCCGATGATGGGAGAATCTGGCCCTTTCCCTGAGGCTCCTAGGGGAATACAGCAGGATGCCTGGGAGAGCCTGGCAGGGATCCCCTGGATTTGGAAGCCCTAGAACTGGGCCCCAGCATCTGGTAGACCTCTGAAGTAGAGCCTGGCAGGGTTACCCATGACAGCAGGTCTAGAAGAAGGGCTGTAGTGAAGCCCAGACTTTCAGAGCTCCCCAGGACAAGGGCCTCATTGTCACACAGGTAGAATGGGAGTCAAGGGAGAAAGTGGGGCTGGAGTTGTCATCAGAGGATTTTGCCCAAGACGCCTGCCTGGCAGGGCCTCATCCCCTAGAAAAGAGAAGCTGAGTTGGGAGGAGGGGGTCCAGCAGAGTGAGATGCAGGGGGGAATAAGAAGCAGTGGGCTGGAGGGGGACTGCCTGTGCCAGGGAAGGAGGCACCGTGAGGCCCTCCAAAGGTACCACTTAGCAAAGAGCCAGCATGTGGCATCAGTCATCCAGAAAGTCCCAACACCCGAAAACACCTGTGCTGGCTACCTTCCCCTGCCATCTGGAGGGACCAGAAACGGCCACTAGTGAACAGGCTCTACCTGCAGAAACATGAGATCTGAGGTTGGTAAGATTGAAGCTTCGCAGTGAGGCCAGACCTGACTCCTAATACCTAAAAATGAGACTATTCCTCTGGTCTAAAAGTGACTGGAAAAGCTCAGGGATCTGCCCAGATCTCACCCAGGATTGGAAAGGCAATGGGGAAACAAGTCGTTTCTTGCTCTGCCCCCTGTAAAGACAAATTCATTCATTCGATAAGCTAATTTCCTGCATACAGAACATGCATAGGATTTAAATTCATTTATTTACATCAAACACAAACTGAACACTTGAAACATGTCTCTTTTCCTACAACAATCCAACCCCAACTGCTTCTGACTGCCAGGAAAGTCAGAGTCATGTCTGAACACCAACGATCATAGCTCCCACCATGCGCAAGGCCCTGCCTAAACACTCCCTTATCTCATCTTCCCAAGAACTCTCTGGGGCCTGGCTTCTGCCTTGGTGTACAGATGAGGAAACGAGACTCCTAGAGGAAAACCAGCTAGCCAGGATAAGATCGAAACTCTCTCTACTAAACCAGAAATGATCTATGATTTTCCCTGGTCTGGGTTTTCATGGCTTAGTCTGTGATGCGGGGTTCCCTTTTGCTCTGATCATGCATAGACTGTCACCGGAGGACTTACAACAAGTATCAGAAAGGACAGGTGGTCTCTGTGGATAAGAGAGACACCTGCAAACCCAGCCGGCTGAGAAGGCTCAGTGCAGACACCATCCTCTTCCCTGCGGGTTCTAAACCTCACCATAGGTTTGCCTACCTAAACTAATCCAAATGGGGAGATGGGGCTTCAGGGAGCCCGCCCACCAGCAGGTGGCTGCTCTGTGCCAGGATTGGGATCCCAGAGTGGGAGCCCTCTCTGACCCCCTCCTCCTACTGCCAGAGATGATACCGGCCTCTGTGACCCCCGTTTGAGCTCCAATTTGTCCTTTACTGGGAAGTTCAGTCTCAAGGCCTCCTGCTTTTTTGCTCCTTCCCCGGCATTCCCCACATCCGGTCCACCAGGAACAGTCCCTGGGGTCCCCTCTTGAGAAACAAAAACAACCCCTCTCCCCCATCTCAGTACTCACTCGGAAGGGTGCGACTGTTGCTGAGGCTGCCAGTGCTGGGCGGGGGGGAGAGGGACTGCAGGGAGACACTGTCCTCCTCCTGTGAGCAGCCCGCCTGGATGGCCCGCAGGTAGCTGTGGCTGCGGGAGCGAAAATAGCTGGGCAGCGGCAAGTCCAGTGCCTCCGCGGCTGTAGACTCAGCTTCGCTGCAGGCAGACTCGCAGGCTGCCTCATACTGGTCGCTCAGATCTGCCTCCCGTACCTAGCCGGGCAAAGGCGGGCGTCAGGGGCCAGCAAGGCCCATTCTGGAGGGACGGGGTGCTGGGTGGTTGGCTCAGCAGCAGGGCTGGAGAGCCAGTGGGGCCTTGAGTCAGCCCTCCCTTTCCTCCCATCTCACTCACGATATAGGGTGGGTGGATGGAACCCTTACGAAATGACAGCCCCTGTCACTTCTTCGGACCTCAAATTTGATTAAGGATACTTAGTGGGTCTTGAGTGTCCAAACTGATCAACTGATAGATCCTGAGGTCGCATCTGAATTCAGCCACAAAGAAGGCTACAATCAATTAGTAATGTCTACCTTGCATATTGGAATGGGAGGTGGCAGTAGGTGTGCTAGAAATTTACCAGCTTAAGGTCCAATTCCTTTACTTTCACAAGGAAAGAAACCGAGGGCCAGTGAGGGGGAAGATACTTGCCAGGTGTACCCAGTGAAGAAGTGGCTGAATCAGTACTCCAAATATGAATTTAAGGAGGATTAATCTAGCCCTGGAGTAGAGAATGAATGTTGGGAAGGGAGTCTGGGACAGAGGCAGAGGCCTGAGATAAAGCTGATGTCATCATCTGGTAAGAGCAGATAAAACTGGAATAAGGGTAGTGGCAGTGAGGATTGATTAGTGATGTCTGCCAAGGGCATTATAGAGAATGGTGACTGAGTGGTGGTGAGGATTGATTAGTGATGTCTGCCAAGGGCAGTATTGAGAATGATGACATGTATGCAGTATGGAGAATGGTGACACGTCTGCTATTTGTCATCTCACACCTAGTTCAACGTTATCTAGATAGTTTCTAAGTGTCTCTCTAGAGACGGCCATCCAAGATCCTATAGATCTGCAGCTGAGAGCATGAGCATACAGCGGCCTGCCACACATATACTCTCTAAGAGTTCTGGAAGGGTATGTTTGACCCAGGTCTTAGGCCATGATGGCAACTGGAGACCACAGAGCATAAGCTGAGAAGCTGGCGGGCCAAGGATGGACACTGACTGGAGGTCCTGAGGGGAGGCGAGGGCAAGAAGGGCAGGGACAGAAGTTGACTGAGCACCATGTGGAAGAATGATGGAGCCATTCCTGGGGCCTGCTCTGCTGGTGTGGCATCTAGCTCTCACCACCCTCTGGGTCAGAGGTCAGGTAGGCTTCCTACCTAAATGAAATGCCTGGCACTGCACCAGGTAAAATGACTAGACGGATCATCACCCAGTTGGGAGCATATCTATTTGGAAAGGTCTAAATCTGTGCTGTCCAATATGGTAGCAACTAACTACATGTGGCTCTTTAGGTTTTAAACTAATTAAAATTAAACAAAAAATTCAGTTCCTTAGCCACACTATGTTTCACTTGCTTATGCCACCTTATGGGAAAGCGTGTAGGACAGAACATCTCCATCTTCACAGAAAGTTCTGTCGGACAACACTGATAAATTAAAATGTAGGCCATGAGGTATACCCAACATTCATTTGGAGTGGGTTTGAAAGAGACAGGCGTTTATCCTCCTTGGCTGTGACCTGAAGTACACCGAGAAGCCCCTGTGATTGCCAAGGGCAATAAGGTCTTGCTTTGCGATTGCAGGCACGGCACAGCTCTGGAACAGGACTGCCGGAGTTTCAACCTGGGTCCATCACTTCCTTGCAATATGAATATGGGCACGTCACTTAACTGCTCTGTGCCTCATTTTCCCATTTATAAAATAAGAGCTAACTGTAGACCAAATTTCCTAAAATTGTTGTCGAGATTAAATGAGATCATTCATTTCCCATGCTGAGAACAGTGTCAGGAGACTAAGCACCAGGTGACCTATCCCTATTCTTAGAGAGAGCTCTGTGGGGTGAGGGCAAGGATTTGTAAGTACTGGTTAAGATGCTTCCAAGCCCTGAGAGGTGGGGCCAGCTGGTCAGAGCTGTTCGTATGCATATCACTGAGGACATACTGTGGGCAGGGAACTCGTTGGGATTTTGTATGTTAACACATCACATCCTTACCACAAGCCTGTGGACATTAGGGGAGGAAGAGGGCACCTGGCCCTCTGTGGGCTCCCCAAAGACACTCCAGAATAATGTGTTTGAGAAGAACTATGACATGAACGTGGAGGCACGTGAGCCTGCCACAGCTAGAATCAGGAGAGGAGGGGCCAATCTTCGTCCCGCCCCTTGGACAGGTTCCTTGTCTAGTCCTGGCCACAATGAGGGGGTGAGCTTGGAGCCCCTTTCAGCCTCTCTTTCTGGTCTCGGGGGCTGGGGCCTGGGAAGGAGGAGAGGGCCTCTTCTCGGGCAGGGTGTGTATGCACAGGAAGGGGCAATCGTAGGGCAAACAGCGTACCACGAGCAGCTTCACCCCCACCAAGTTTTGTAAAATGGAAAAGTCGCTGTGTTCATGCCAACACCCCAACATCCTTAAAGGAGAAACATTAGGAGATCTGGGATCTGGGATCTGGAGGCCAATACCACCAGCCCCCAGCTGCCAATGTATCCAAAGGGAACAGTCTCTCTAGTTAGAAGACTCCCAGGGTCCACTTTCCTTTACTCTGGGATTGTTTCTTGCCCTATCCATGAGACCTAGCCCATTCTTTCCCATTTTTTTAAAAGAGGAAACTGAGGCACAGAAAAGTGAAGTGAAAGGGTCAGTGAGGGAGAGGTCAGGGCAGAGCGTGAGCCTCGACTCCGTGCTCACCAGTGGTGCCTTCCCTGGCACGGGCTCTGCTGGTTCCTGCCAGGGCCAGGGGCTGGGACCACTCAGATGCCAGGTCTCGGACCCAGCCCTGGGCTCTGGAATTGGGGTACGAGAGAAGGGCAAACATACTGACCTGCTGCTCATGGCCAAACAACTGGGGGATCAGGGAGGCCTGTCCAAAAATCTGCAGGAAAGAGAGGGGGAGGGTTATGGGGAGACCAAAGCTGGGGGCTGGGGTAGGGTTTCAGACTTGGCTACAAGAGGCTGGCTGGCTGGCCTAACGTCCTCCCCAGACTGGCTGAGGCCTAGTCTGCCAGGAGGTCTCATTTAGCTTCCTCCACAGATGGGAGACTTACCCCTTCTGGAGTTGGGTGCTACTGAGGATTTATACTCTGCTCTTTCTACATCTTTCTTTTGTTCTGGCCCCTGGGAGATGCCCAGTCTACTGCCTCTCACCCAGGCAGGCAGCCCCCCAACTCCCGGATCTACAGATTAGGCCCAGAGCCCAAAGTCTTCTCTTCCCTGGTCAGGGCCCACATAGTCCAAGACCTGGTGGGAGGGAGGCTCCTTCTGGCAGGAGTCAAGGACTCAGAGACACAGTCAGAGCTGGGATATCTCTGACTCTAGGGCCACATATGTGGCTCAGGTCACTCAAACTTCTGGAGGTGAGGGTTTGAGGGCTCAGAGGACCCTGGCCTAGGAGAGAGCTGGGCTGGGCAGGGGGTAGTGGCAGAGACCTGCTGGGGTCCCCAGCCTGGCTGATTCCATGGGCCCTTTTGTACAGCCAAAGAATAAAAGTGTTCCAGATGCCGGGGCCAGGCAGAGGTGAAGATGGGGTGTGTGAGAGAAAGACAGAGAAAAACATGGATGTGGTACCGACTAGAGGGAGTCAGAGAAAAATGTGAATGAGGGGAAAGAAAAACAGAGACAGATCCAAAGACAGAAGACTGAGAAACAAAAGAACACGGTAGGATAGGAGACACAGGGAGGGAAGCCATCCATTCAGCAGGCTCCCGTGTGCCCTGTGCCATGTGCCGAGGACCAGGACAATACAGGGAACCACACGGCAAGCTCCCCACCTGTAGGGAGCGCCCAATCCTAAGAGTGAGACCGACATCAATTAAATAAGCAGCTATAACTCCAGACAGTAATGGTGCTGTCAAGTAAATTAAGCAGGGTAAGGGAACAGTGTCCTGGGGGCTCCTTTCGACAAGTGACAGGGCAGTTTCCCCTGAGGTAACATTTGAGTCAAGACCAGAAACACAGAAAAACCAGCTGAGCAATGATCTGAGAGAGGGGTGCTCCTGGGAGAAGAAACAGTAAGGTGTGTGAGGTGTGCAAGGATGCCAGTGTGGCTGCAGCAGGACAGGGGACAGAGCATCTGAGATCCCACGTGAGAGAGAGGCAGGCCCACACGCAGCTGAGTAAGGAGTCTGGCCTTCACTGCGGGCAGGCAGGAGCTACAGAGGGTTTGGAGCAGGGACACGGTGTGATCTGCCTCACATCCTTCACAAGCTCCCTATGGCCATTGAGAACACAGAGCAGATGGCAGGCCTAGAGCCCAGGAGACTTGGTGGGGCCCGCATGAGGGTGGCAGGGACAGAGTCCCATGGTTGGGGTACTCTACTCCTCCCCAAGTCTGAAGTCAGTCTTCTTGGTCTGGGAATGACAGTGCTGAGGGGTCTGGGGACTCAAGGGGGGACGCTATGGCCAGACGAGGAACAGTGGAGTGGTGAGGGGATGGGATCCTAAAGCTTTCCAGTTCTAAGCAGTGTATCAGCCCGGGCAGTGGGGCTACACACAGTAGGCCCTGGGGCCTGTCTCCACCCAGAAAGGAGGCCGGGGCTGCACCTGGGGCCTTGCCTGCCCCATTCTTTTACTCTAGCAGGTGTTGCCCTCTCTGAGCCTCATCTCCCCATCCACACCCTAGGGGGAGCCCTTGAAACTTGACTGGTCTTCCCTTTGCCAACCCCAAAGTACTGGGCACATGGCGGGGGTTGGAGTCCTGTTGTATGACTGACAGCCCTGGATCTCCGCCCAGCTCTGCCTCCTCCTTGCTGTGTGATCTCAGCCAGCTGAGCCTCAGTCTCCTCATCCGTGAAATGGGGATATAAATAATAAGCACACCCACCCCTGGACATGGCTGTGAGGGTTCAAGGACCTGGGAGTTAAGAGAAAGAAAAGTTCAGCACAGCGTGCTAATCGATGTTAGTTGCAGGGGTGCCTAAACCTTGGAAGTCCAACTTTCCACTGAGCCTGCGGGACATGGAGGTCCAGAGTGGAGAAGCAACTTTCCCAAGGTCATATAGCAACACAGCAATAAGAACCATAAAATTAGCTACCCTTTGCTGAGAACACTACATTCCTATCTCAATTCCTCATAACGCTTTGAAATAGGAATTATCACCCTTCTGTGTAAATCAGGAAACTGAGGCTCAGGGAGGGAGTGACTTGTCCTGAGTTCATACGCTCTGTGACAAGACTGGGACTCAAGCTCAGGTCTCCAGTTCCCTATCTTCAGGGCTCCTGGGTCTATAGCAGTGGTGTGGCCCCTCCCTCAGGGCCCTCAGCTCAGGCCACGGCATGCCAGGCTCCCTGACCACTCTCCAGCCTCAGGACAGTCAGTGGGACAGACATATGTACACAGGCAGCTATGGGAACAAAGACCAAACAGAAGCACAGTGAAGACATCTGGGGGCCACTCGCCAGGAGCTGGGCCTGGATGTCTGTCCTCCTGGGTGGGAGCTGGGCTCTCCCAAGCCCACTGTCCTGGCTAGCAGCCACCCTCACCTGGCTGATGCAGCTGGAGTCGTTGAGGCTGTCGCTGACGGGGTTGTAGTCCTCCTCCCAGCTGGGACACTTGGAGGGCAGCAGCATGTCCACTGAATCCAGGCGGTCCAGACTCCTGGGGAAGGTGGGGAGCAGACAGGGCTCAGCCCACCCATTGTTCAGCCTGAGAAACAGGCTCAAACCAGGAAAGACTGGCCAAGGTCATCGAGTGCAGAGGGAAAAATGGAAGTCACTGCCAGCCTGTGTAGTGTTGGGAGGGGTGAAGACGGGGTGGAGGGGTGGGTCAGGGGCACTGAGCAAGGGGAGAGCTCCCAGCTCTCCAAGACTGGACTCTGGAGGATGCAGGTCTTTCTCACCTGTCATCTCTACTGTAGCCAAGAGGTGGCAGCACAAGCTCACTTTTAACCATTTCAAACCTTGCTTCCAAAGCCAGCCTGATTCTACAGCCCCCTCCCCCGACAGGTCTGGGGCTAATTCCAATGGCTGGACAGGAGAGGGAGGTCAAGGCTCACACCCTTGATCTCAGGCTGGAGCTGCCCAAAGTACATCAGTTTCAACACAATATCCGGGTAACTTCCACCAGGCCCCCAAAGACACCACTTCTCAGGGCTCCTGCTCTTCAATTTTTCTCACATCTCCCTGACCCTGGGTTTCTCCCTCACTAGCCTGGCCAGTGAGCGAAGCCTGTGAGAGTGGAGGAGACTTTCCGGGAGCTGGGAGGTCTCCAATGGGGCAGGTTAGCCTGTAGGCGGGGCTCCCAGCAGGTGGTGCAGTGAGTTTTAACCCCACTGCTCTGGGGTTAAAAATCCAAGCACCCAACAGCTGAGGTCTTGACATAGGTGGGCCTGGATTGGAATGGTTTCCTCAGTGTGTGACCTTGGGCAAGTCACGACCCCCTTGCCTATGTCTCAGTTTCCTCACCTACAAAGTGGCCGTGACACCATGCCTGCCTGCTTGGGGCCGTGATGAGGAGGATTTGGAATCACACTGAAGTGCACTGGGCCAGGCACAGAGCCCAGAGCCCAGAGTGCGGCAAGTGCTAACAGATGGCACCCATTACTATAGCTACTATTATTATTATTTATTTCCTCTCATTCAAGGTCTGGGCCTGGGTCCCGCCCTCCTCTCCCACCTCAGTGCACACTGGTCATTCATGCAAGTGCTTCCAGGACTAGAAGGGGTTTTAAAGATCATCCACCTTAGCCCCTCACTTGAGGATGGGGAACTGAGGCTCAGAGAGGGGAAGACGTGGGACGGGCCAGTGATGTCCTGAATTCCCACCTGGAGGCCATTCCCTGCCTTCTGTCCCCCTGTGCATCCCTTAAGCAATTCCCTGTCACAAGGAAACTCCGGGCTTCTCCGAGTACACTGCCCCTCCCTGCTCCTCCTCACCTCTCCCTGCCTCAGTGCTCTGTCACCTTACCTGCTCTCTTTCCTCTGTCAAGGTCCTCCCAGACCCCCTCCTCCCAGAAGCCTTGACTCTTGGCCCCTGTAGTTTAGGAACTAGGACTAAGCTTGTTTCCTTAACTCTTTTTGTTTCTGACTTGCTTTTGTTTCTTTTCCTCAAAGAACTTTGAACCCCTCCTACTAAGTTTTACTTGATGATGGGCTTTCTGTAACGTTTTTTTCCTCCTCTCATTCTTTTCTGATCTGATCCCCACGGTTACTTCTGCATGTGAAAGCCTCACCTTTCTCTAACATTGTAATTGTTGCTCGCTGCGTGCATGCATCTCATTTGTTCAGACTTTCATTAACTCTTTCAAGTCTTAAAGCAACAGGAAAGGGCTTGACGGTGGAATTCCAGGCAGGGTGAGGGAACAGGTGAACAGGGAACAGGTGAAGTCTGCCTTTGACTTCTGGATACACTCTCCTCCCCAGTCTCGGAGCTCACCACAGGGATCAGTTACAGGGGCAAGGGCAGAGGGGGCTCTGGCAGTGGGGAGCAGACAGGTAATTACAGTATTACCAGTAAGTACCTTGTTGGTACAGGTGGTGGGATCACTAGGGGCAAGGTTCTCCTAACCGGAAGAAGAGGGTTCCCCGGTCCAGTTTTCCTGTGGGAATGGAACTCACCTGGTGATGTGCCTCCTGGGGACACGGCCAGTCACTCTAAAGAGACTCACCTTATCGTTTGCCAAAGGATGAGACTCACTGCTGGTCAGGGTTTAACTGTGAGGGACTTATGGGATGGTTCACCAAATGGTGGGGCTCTCCAGAGTCAACTCGTCAAACGAAGGGCCAACCTAAGGACAAGGATCTCAGGGAGAAGGCTAAGCTAAGGCCGGGTTTACCTAGGGAGCCTAGATCACTGGGAGCCCGAGTTCACCTGGATCTGAGGCCGTGAGGCAGGATTGACCTATGGGGCGGGGCTTTCCTAGGGGCCACAGAGTAGGAAAGCGAAGTTCCCAAAGGTGGGACATACCTGTGAGGAGCTCACCTAGGGACCAGCCCGGCCAGTGAGCGGAGCCTGTGAGAGCGGAGAAGGCTTTTCCGCAGAGCTCACGTGCGGAGAGCGGGGAGGCCTCCAACCCGGCAGGTTAGCCTGTGGGCGGGGCTCCCTGCAGGCGGAACTTGGGAGACCTCCTAGGACCTGACTCGGACTCCCGAGCCGCAATCCCGGGGGGCGGAGCTCCGGAGGGGCGGGCTAGCCTGTGGGCGGGGCTCTAGGTAGCGGGGCTGCGCGCTCACCGGCGGGGGTTGCTCTGCTCTCCCAGTGACTGCTGCGTGGCCCTCAGGTAGCTCTGGCGCCGTGCTGCCGTCTTGGGTGAGGGCTTGGGGCTGCCGCCGGACTCGTCGCTGTCCTCGTCGCCCATGGCCTTGATGTAGCTGCCGCTGCGCATGCGCCTGCACGGGATGGGGCCCTCGGCGGCGGCGTCCGCCTCGCGCGGGGACAGCAGCGCGGTGCTCCACTCGCCGCCGCCGCCGGGCACCTGAGGGTGGGCGGACAGACCTCAGCGAGGGGGTGGGATCGGGGGCAGCGCACATCGCAGAACGGTACTCGGGACCCTGGAGCGCCCCCGCTCTCCGCCTCGGACAGTTTTAGCCTTCCGTGATGGGTATTGCTGTTGAAGCCACCCAGCAGCAGGGCAGAACGGTGGGGGGGGGGGGGGGGGGGGGGGCGATTTTTGTTCGCGCAGGGCCTGTGCGCGCACCCCCGCCCCGGGGGCGCCCAAACAAAACCCCCCCCCCCCCACCCCCCGGGTTGGCGCACGGCCCC